TTGCCAGAGGTTTGACTATTTTGTTGGTTTAAAAAAAAAATCAATGTTTTGTTTTGTTGATCTTCATCATATCTTTGTTTTCTGTTTCACTGACTGCTGATCTTATTTTTATTATATTTTTTCTTCTGTGTTCTTTGAGTTTACTCTTTTCTTCTTATGTATTTAAAGCTATAAATCTCCCTCAAAGCACCACATTGGCTGTGTCCCACAAGTTTTGATACACAGTGTTTTTAATATCATTCAATTCTAGATATTTTACATTCATTATAATATCTGCTTAAACCCAAAAACCTGGTGTGTTTCTGTCAAATTGTGAATGATCTAAGGATGCCACTATCACTATTCTATTCAACATTGCATATGAAGTCCTAGCTAGTAGATATGTGTCATGAACCAGGGATTATGAGTGATCCAACTGAATGAACCTGAGGTCCAATGAAAAAAAGAGAAAAAACAAGAGACAGAGAAATCTAACAAGCTTCCAGATAAAATAATGAGTTGCTTTTAAAGGAAAAATAATCAGAGCTGCAATAGACTTCTCATTTGCAACACTGAAAGCTAGAAGTCAAAGCGTTAGCATTTATAGTTTTCTGAGAGAAAAGAACCCAAAAATCCTACATTCAGCTGAGATACCATTACAACCATCATGTTGAGAAGTATATTTTATTTTGTATTTCTAAGGAACATTTACAAAACTTGATCATGTATTCAACATGCAAAAAAACAACAACAACACATTCAAAGAGGTATTATGTCACATTATTTAATCAGAATACCCCCAAGTTAAACAATAAAAAAGTAACTCTCTCCCAAAACAATTAACTACTTAGAAATTAAGAAATATACTCCCAGATAACACTTTGACCAAAGAATGAGAAATTAGAGAGTATTTAGACAGTATTGAAAAGGAGAATAATACATATTAAAAGTTATGAGACATAAAGTTTTACTCAAAGGAAAATTTATACCCTTAAATGCCTCTATTATTAACACCCCAAAAAGATGAGAATTAAAAGAAGTAAGTATTCCCTTCAGAAGTCTGAAAAATAAAAACAAAAAACAAAAAGAAACCAGGAAGAGGAAATTAATAAATATAGAAATGAAAAGTAATGTTATGAAAAATAATAGTAGAAAGCATAAAAAAATACAAAAGCTAGGGTTCTTTGAAATGACCAAAAACATAAAGACCTTGCAAGCCTGATAAATAATAAAGGATAAAACAAATATAGACAAGATAAAAAATCAGAAATCAGGTATAACCACAGACAGAGAAGATATTTTCTTTTCTTTTCTTTTCTTTTTTTTTGAGGAAGACTAGCCCTGAGCTAACATCTGATGCCAATCCTCCCCTTTTTTCTCGAGGAAGATTGGCCCCGAGCCAACACCCATGCCCATCTTCCTCTGCTTTATATGAGACGCCACCAAAGCATGGCTTGACAAGCGGTGCGTAGGTGCGCACCTGGGATCTGAACCTGTGAAGCCTGGGCCCCCGAAGTGGAGCGTGTGCACTTCACCGCTTGCACCACCGGGCCAGCCCCGATATTTTAAAAATAAGAGTATTATATGGCATAATATGGGTACAAATTTTTTTTTTTTAATTTTATTTATTTATTTATTTCTCCCCAAAGCCCCAGTAGATAGCTGTATGTCATAGCTGCACATCCTTCTAGTTGCTGTATGTGGGACGAGGCCTCAGCATGGCCGGAGAAGCGGTGCGTCGGTGCGCGCCCGGGATGGAACCCGGGCCGCCAGCAGCGGAGCGCGCGCACTTAACCGCTAAGCCACGGGGCCGGCCCTATGGGCACAAATTTGAAATCTTAGAGAAAACTTAAAATTTCCTGTCAAAATACAAACAATCGAAACTGATCTGAGAAGAACTGAAAATTTAATAGTCAAACTACCACAGAAAACTCAGGAAATATTAAATAACTACCACTGAAAGAGGCACTGGAATCAGACAAGTTCATAATTGAATTTTACCTAATGATACTGGGTTCACAGTCAAGTTTTATCTGATTTTTAAAAAACAGACAATCCAATGTTATTAAACCTATTTATTTATGAAACTCACTTAATTTTAACAAAAACTCTAATAAAATTAGTCCCCCTTAATAAAGAAAAACTTATAGACCAACCACTTATACACTGAAATGATATATACAAAAATAAATGATGTAGGATTCCTGCCATGAAAGCAAAGGTGCTTCAGTGTCAGGAAATTTAGTGATATTCATTCATTCCACCAGTCGGTTAACGGAGACAAAATATGCTATTATATCACTAGATGCCGAATAGGCATTTAATAAAATCCAAGAGCATTTCTAATAAAACGTCTAAGTAAAATTGGAATAGAAGAAAAATAGTTAATTAAAAATAAAGAATATTTACGAAAAATCAAACATCAAATATAATTCCAAGTGGCAAAATACCAAATGATTTCAATTAAACTCAGGAAGTAGACATGGATGCTCACTGTCACCATTATTATTTAACTCAGTCTTAGAGGTTCAAATGAATTTAATAAGACATGAACAATACAAGAAAATAAAATAACAGATAAAAAATTAGAAAAGAATAGGTGAACTCTTTTTGAGGGGTGTTGGGGCTGATGATATAATTGTATAACTGGAAAACCCAAGAGACACTAATAAAAAACTACTAAAATTAATTTGAGAATTTTTTAAAGTTGATGGACATAAGACAAATACATAACAATCAATAGCATTTCTCTATTCTATCAACAAATACCAAGAAGTGGAAATAGAGAAAATAGTCCATTCACAGTAGATGCAAAAATGATAGTTATAAATTTAACAAGAATGGCAAAGAAATGTATTTAAATAAAACGATAAAATCGTATTAAAGAATATAAAACAACACTTAAAGAAATGAAAAGATATACCATATTCTTGAATAAGAAGACTTTTATAATATTAAGAAGACAATACCACTAAAAAATATCAACTCTCCAAAAATTAGTATATAAATATAATGCAATCCCAATTAGAATCCTTGTTGCGATTAGAATTGAAAGAAATTATCTTAAAGTTTATGTGGAGGAATAACTGCCTGTAAATATGTAAGATGAGCATACAGACTGGAGGAGAAAAACTTTACTAGGTGTCTATCAGAGCCTTTGGATTAGAGGCAAATAAACAATCTTAAGTTCAAACCAAAGAATAACTGCTCCAAACATATATTTAAAAAGTAAGAACAGTGGAGAGAGAAAAGACCTGCCATCTATGAAAATATGCTATTAAGTCACTATATTTAAATGAATATGATATTAATGGTACAACAAATAAATCAGTGGAACGGAAGAGACAACATAGTAATAGGTGCTAGCATATACAAAATTTTAACATATGACAGATAGTAGTTCTAATTAGTGGGAAAAGGATTATTTAATACATAATACTGATACAATTGACTATCCATTTAGAAAGAATAAAAGTGGACCCCCAAATCTCACACCACATAAAAAATAAGTTCCATATGTATTATTAAATGAAAGAAAACTCAGGAGACTATATGTACAATCTAGGAATGGAAGAGATTGTTTTAAGCAAGACTAACCAGAAACAATAAAAGATAGTAATTTGATCATACCAAAATGAAAAACTTTGATATGGTGAAATTTACCATAAAAAGTCAATAGACAAATTATACATTAGAAAAACATTGACTACAGAAGATAAATAATTACTATACTATACAAACTGCTCTTAAAAATTATCAAGGAAAATTCCAATAATGCAATAAAAAATTGGCAAAATCTATGAACAGGTAACTCACAGAAGAGTAAACTAAAATATCTGGTTTTTAAATTTATATCTGATTTCATATTGCTTCCAAATTCATGTGATGACTCCTATCTTCTCTTCCAATACCAATTTTTCTCCAGATTCCCCCGGTCTGTGGTATGTTCCCATCATTCAAGATTCCCAAGCCAAGAGGTTCAGAGCCCTCTGTGACTTCCTTCTTTCCCTTGTCTACTCAGCCAGGTGTTCACCTCGCTAGTGCTGGGTAGTCCCCTCAACCCTGATTCATCTCACCCTGCCATCCTGGCCATGGAGAGGGCCAAGGAGATGGAGTGGGAGCGGCAAGAGCCTTGGAGTGGACCAAGTTTCCTTTCACTCCCGGCCGTTTACCAGCTATGTGCGAATAGGCGTGTCCTCTCTGGGCCTTGATTCTCTCCTCTGTAGGATGGGATCATTCTACCTCCTTTTCATGGTCACTGTGAGAACTGACAGTGGCAGCATGGTGTCTAGTACATATTAGGACCTAAAAAATGGTAGCTCCCTTCCCTACTTCAGTTTCTTATCATTAGTCTAGGGACTACGTTACCAGCCAACATATTTTCTAAATGGCTACTTGGCTCCAATTGCTTGACGTTTGGAACACCTCCATGTGTTGCTAATAGCTTAATTTTGCTAAAACATTGCTTGTATTATATCATTCTTCTGATTACCAATTTTCCATGATTCCTTACTGCCCTCAGGAAAAACTGCAGACGCCATAGCCTTACTGCCAAGACACTCATTCCTCTGAGGTAGAAATTAAAAAACTTTTTGCCCAAGGTGCCCCAAAGACAATTTTTAATCTTTTCATTTGGGAAAATGAAGGCATGCCTACAAATCTGGATTCACCTTAAATAACAGTGTATGCTGTATTTGCCTTCATTACTCTAAATCAGCATCCACTGGTGTAATGATATACTAAAGTAAATTCAACTTTGTTTTCCTGAAATTTTACTTTGTACTTGAAACGTCTGTAATACATTCATTTAAATATTTCCACTCTAAATGACAGAACAGGAAGAGATGATAGCAAACACTCATCACAGACACTGTTATTGACACAGTTACTAAAAATTAGGCATATTTGCAACACAAACTAATTAAAACAAGATTTTGTTGTGATTATAAGAGAAATAAAAATTTAGACATTTCTTTATTATGGCTAGTTGCTAACAACAGCAAAAAATAATTCCCTTTTACCTAGGACTTGGTTTTGCAGGTCATGGCATCTGCTTTGCAAGTTCACTTCCTGCTGTGTGGATGTCTGAATCTGCTGAGACCGCAGCATGGCCGCATCTGACAACAATTTCAGGTTTTTCATTTCTTCTTCAAGGCATACTTTATTTCTCTGGCACACTGTCAAACTTTTATTTAGTATTTCTATTTCTGTAAAGAAAATTCAAAGTTTACAAACAGACAATAATGAATCATAAAACGTTTTCTCTAAAAAAATGATAATTTTCTTTTAGAAAATTAATAGTTAAAAGCCAGGATGACCTTTCTGAGAGTTTAGTGACACCTAACCAAAAGGTCAAATTTAAATTTAGTAGTTATTCTGAAAAAGAAAGGAGAAAAAGGATTATATTGCTAAACGGTGCATGAAACCTTTTAGTAGTTTTTTTAGCCTTTAAATTGTATTAAATGGCAATTCGGCCTGCTTTTTAAATACTCACATAAATGAATAACATAATATCTGTGTAATATTCTGGGTTTTATTGAAATTAAATTGTTTTCTTGGCAACATGACTCAGTAAAGTACATTTAAATGTGCTAGCATGAGCTGTGGGGTGGCATTTCTAGGAGAGTAACTAGGATACGTTCTACACAAATTATGAAGAAAAGTGGTGGGGTGGAGAGGAATAAAAGGATGTGGTGTCTAAAACTAACACAGGGGAGAAAAAGTATTAGTTAATATAGTTAATGATTTTAATAATACTCTGTCCCCTCAAAATGAGACCAGAAATTCATCACAATAATCACTTGTCATTCTTCTACCTACTTACATTAAGTTTAATAAAAATATGCCTTCACAGCATTATGTAGATTTAAATATGCTAGTCTTATATAATTTCCTGAGAAATGCATGTCACATATTCTCCTTCAAAATGGTAATTATCAAGCTCTCCCTTCATCAGTCTTTTCAGCACTGCTGCCTTAAACCACTATTAAAATACATAAACGTACAATAATGATAAAACACTATACAATTTGTACAACCACAATTAATTGAATTGATGAGGATGTGATCTATGAAAAGACCTGGACAGTCTGCTTTTCCAGAGAGTTCGCTTGGCGTTCCCTTCCTTGGTTAGCTCTTCCTGGGCCATGTGAGGGGTTTAGCATGTGATTGGGTGGCAAAGGAGGTCAGCTTGGTCGACTGGCCTTGGAGCCGCCACAGTAGAAACCGCAGCCACATGGGCCAGTGAAGACCAGAAGTAGAGACCCATAGACAGACATGGCAGCAGAGGCAATATGGGCAGTAAATGGCTCCAGGAGAAGTAAAGCAGTACGCTAGAACAAAGCACAGAGAAGAGAGCAGGTCTTGAGGGATGGTGATGAGTAGGATCAGGAATGTTGTTCCAGGAGAGAAAGAAAAATGTCTTTCTGTGGGTAGAAAGTATGTCTGGAAAAAACATGACTTTTAAGACAAACCCAGGGCATGAGTGCAAGGGGTCTGGCACCTTCTTCACTTTCAATTCCTGCTCGGAATGGACAACCTGGAGAAATAAAATGGCAGGGACCAAATAAGTGGAGTTTACTGTATTCTAATGATGACTTTATATGGGAATCTTTTTCCTAAGAACAGCTATATGCTTCTAAGAACTTATGGATTTGCACCCATTTGTGTGAGGTAAACTGCTGAGAGACTAGTACATAAAATTTTAGAACAACGTAGTTAAACAAATAAGGAGGCTGCAGTTCTTTTCAGACCTAAAAAGTCTTCCTGGGTATTTTTGTATCCTTAAAGGTGGCTTCTTATGCTGAATAAACTGTATCATATCTGTCTATATCTGTCTAACCATATCTGTCTATGTTTAAGTCAGAATGACACTGAGAGGAGCACACACATGCTGTCACCTACTTATCTTTGCCAGAATGATCCTGCTTAGGTTAGCTGGCTGACTCTGTTGGTATACACTACTGGCTGTCTCTAAAATAACTACTCATGTCAACGTGACTTTCTATCTGACATTAAAAGAATAAGAATCTGCAATACAAATTCATTTGTGAAATATATTCTAACACATGGAAAAGTACACCAAGATTTCAAAACTAACAGGAGCTACAACGTTTCTAACATGGAATTAGGAGAGTAAACTCAAGGGAGGTGAATTAATTCACCTTCAGGAACCTACACATCCCTCTACCTATGGCAATCCCGGCATCAAACATTCACTTCTACCTTTGTCATTAATATGACTTCGTATTTGTCACTCACGCATCCCAGTTTGGGGTTCAGCAGTTAGGATCTCTCCCAAGTCAACCTATTCTAGTCATTGCACCCACCACGTGCTTCCTGTTTCAGCACCACCCGTGAAGAGAGTCCTCCTAACCTCACACATTCGGCCTACCACAGCTCATATGCTACTTCAGCCTGGAAATCTTTGCTGACCCAATCTAGAAGTGACCTTGACCTTCCTGGAACTCACACCAATTTACACCATTTCTGTTGCCCTGATCATACATATATATATATGATCTATTATTGAACTATGTTATTTTAGGCGACAGGTAATAGATTACCCGTTTTTTATTCCCCCCATAATTTCTACCATGACATCCTCAAATTAACAGGAGCTCAATAAATACCTACTAAATGAGTAAAGGCATTACTGAGCAAAGCTTTTTTTTTTTTTTTTTTTGGTGAGGAAGATTAGCCTTGAGCTAACATCCGTTGCCAATCCTCCTCTTTTTGCTAAGGAAGATTGGCCGTGGGCTAACATCCATGCCCACCTTCCTCTACTTTAGATGTGGGACGCCTGCCACAGCATGGCATGATTAGCAGGGCGTAGGTCTGTGCCCAGGACCTGAACCCGCAAACCCCAGGCCACTGAAGAAGAGCACGTGAACTGAACCACTATGCCACTGGGCCGGCCCCTGAGCAAAGCTTTTAAGTTTCTAATATACCACTAGTTGAAGACCGTGAATATGTGTATATCTTACCTCACCCTTCACTTCAGAGGCAAACATTTTGAGCCCCAGATTATTTAATTTCAGACTAGGTAAGGCAGTAAAAACACACATCCAAAAGAAGGAAACATTTTTAATAGGATAAGCAAATAGGCCTATCCTATCCCTAATTTCATCAATTTTATGAAAAATGTGAACTACATTTCTAAGCCTAATTCAGGACTTGAATTTTAAAAGTTCAAGAGCTGTTTAGTCAATAGTTATTTTGAGAGTAGAAGCAAATTGATTCTACACTTGTTACAATATTCTAAGTTGGTAAAAATATTATTATTTTGTGAAATTTCTTTTATTAAAATAGGTGTGCTCTGGTGTAAGAAAACCTAATCTATGAAGATTTAAACTTAGAAATATTGATTACAGAAAGTGATATCCACTCGTTTGAGGAGTAGGAAATATTTCACTCATATCTGCTATTCAATATTCAGCATAATCTGTCAGCAAGAAAATATTAAGCAATGCCTTTTTCTGGGAATGTTGTTTCTGTTTTGGGCTTTGATTTTAAAACCTAAATTAATTTTAACATGCAAATCTTTTAAAGTATCTGAATAATGTTGTGCAATGTGTATGGGATTTACTATATTTATTAGTCTGCTAGGACTGTCATAACAAAGTATCACAGAGTGGTTTAACCAAAAGAAGTTTATTTCTCACAGTTCTGAAAGCTAGAAGTCTGAGACCAAGGTGTGAGTTGGGTTGGTTTCCTCTGCGGGCCATGAGGGACAGATCTATTCCAGGTCTCTCTACTCGGCGTGGAGATGGCTGTCTTCTCCCTGTGTCTTCATCTCATCTTCCCTCCGTATGTGTCTGATTCCAAATTTCCTCCTCTAATCCAAAATTCCGCTAGTCATATTGAACTAGAGCCCACCCATTTAAATTTTATTATTTTTTAAGGCGTATACCTCCAAATACAGCTATATTCTGAGATACTGGGCATTAGGACTTCAACATATGAATTTTGGGAGGGGACACAGTTCAGCTGATAACACTATATTTTAAAATATTCATTGGCATTTACATTGTGATTATAAATATGTAAAAATAGATGAGCATGTGGAGGACTAGAAGATAAAGTGAAAAAATGAAAACAATTATGTCAGGATAGAGGAATTAAGAGTTTATCTTACTTCTTATAAAAATGTTTCAAGTTTTGTTTTATACAAACTTTTCAACTGAAGAACCATGCCATGCAGAATCAACTCACACCGTAAAGATATATCCATATAGATCACAAATAAAAGCTGGTATTTAAAAAAAAGTATTTGTTATTTAAAATGTTTGTAATATTGTCAAAGTTTATAGCTAATACATGCTTTTAGCTTTTAGAATAGGTGTTATATAATTTGCTAGCTAATACAAGTATAATTATTAGTATTAATCTCATATGATCAATTTCTTTGCCTTGATAAGATTTTCCTGTTGTCCTTAGTCCTGTTAGTTTACTCAAGTGAACTTAAAATTATGTTAGATCATTACATTTTTAGGAAACCTCTATAACCTTATTGCCAAGGCATACTGATGTTACAAACAGTGTGTGACCATAAATTCACAGACTTTACATAGTTTTATTACAATAACATAAAAAAATCTCAAAGACTAAATTTATTATTTAATGAAAGGATCATAAAACACTAGATTTCTTAAAAACTTTTTATTTTGAAATACTTACAGATTTACAAGAAGTTGCCAAGAAATACATAGGGAGGTCCCACGCCACCTTCACTCTACTTTTCCCGTGCTGACATTTTGTATAACTACAGTATACTACCAAAACCAGAAAACGGACATGGCTACAATCCATGGGGCTAATTCAGATTTCACCAGTTACACACACCCGCATTTATGTGTGTGTGTGTGTGTTTGTGGGTAGTTCTATACAATTTTATCACCTGTGTAGCTTCGTGTAACTATCAACACAATCAAAATACAGGACTGCTCTATCACCACAAAGCTGCCTCCTTCTAGCCCTGTACAGCCACACCTGCTCCTATGCACACCATCCCTAATCCCTGGCAACCACTGATCTGTTCTCCATCTCTATAATTTTATTGCAAGAATGCTATATAAACACACTCATATAGTATTAACCTTTTGAGACTGGCTTTTTTCACTTACATAGTTCCTTTGAGCATGTAATAATAATTGGTTCCTTGGTATTGCTGAGTAGTATTCCATGGTATGGATATAACACAGCTTGT